AGGACAAGCAAAGTAATGCAATTAGCAGTCCACTGGTGTCAGATGGGATGTGGAGGTACAGTGACAATGGATAGAGGTTTCTGGGAAGACAGAAGCTGTGTATCTTCACTCTACCCAATGCTCCCTTCATTACTCCATGGAGTTTTCTAGCCAATGATGGGCAGAAAAAGAGACAACACTTATTTTTACTTCCATGGATACTTTAGGGAGGTGGCTGAAAGGAATCTTGGTCATTGTGCTTTACAGCCAGTTTTAGTTGTTTAAATGTGATTGATTTGTGGCCTCAGCTCTTTGGGGGAATAAACACATAACAATTCCATTTATTTCATTCACTACCTCTAGTTATATTGTATTAAATCTTCCTCACAGTGTAGCAGATACCTTATCAAGAACATAAACTGATCCAATTATTTTCTTGACACACCAGGCAATTGAAACTCAATTCGGTCTAGTTTAAGACTATGGTTCTGAATGTCCATTTCAAACTCCCAGGCTGTCTCAACTCGAATAAGGGGATTGTGAACTGCTGCTCTTCCTTCTTCTGTCTCTGAGCATTGTATGGTGGGAGTGGGGAAAAGCATTGTATGGTAGGAATGGGGAAAACAGGGGAGGACATAAGCAGTACTAGCTCACTTCCTTTCCCCTCCCCTACCTGGGTCTATCCTTGCAGGCAATTGAGAGTTAGGAAGAAGAGATGAGTTATCTGCTGGCAGAGGGTGAGGAGATGCCCTTGGTCTGCTCTGTTTGATGTGGTCCTCTCTGTGTTGATGACATGCATGGTTTTCTAGAGGTAATATTGAGCCTCATCCTGGCGCCTGCTGCCCCAGATATTCCTGACCCCTCTAATCTCTCTCAATGATCCTTTACCTTGTGGGACATCCATCCTCTTATCAGCTTTGGACATCTTTCTGTCCCCTGCCCCTTCCTTTAGCATTCTGCTACCTTGCATGAAGCCCTGAGAACCTCTGACATCCTCTTTAACATTCTCAAATGGCTGTGGGGAACTAGGCTGGGTAGAAGATGCCTCATTTTCTTCCTAGGCACAAGGCAATAGATGGAATGCTTGCATCCCCCAAAAATCCTTTGTTGAAGTCCTAATCCCCAATATGGTGGTATAATGAGGTGGGGCCTTTACTAAGTGATTATGAATAGAATTTGTACCCTTATAAAAGAGGCCCCACAGAACTGTCTTGCCCCTTCCACCACATGAGGACCCAGTGAGAAGACAGCCATCTATGATCCAGGAAGCAGACCCGCACAAGACACCAAATCTGCCGTGATCTTGGACTTCCCAGCCTCCAGAACCATGAGGAATAGATTTCTGTTGTTTATAAACCACCCAGTCTATGGTATTTTTGTTACAGCAGTCTCAGAGGACCAAGACACACATTATGCACAGTCCCATCCCATCTCTCCATACTATTGGGGGCTACTCCAGCTAGCCTCATGATTTTAGAAATCTCCAGGTAGGAAGTCCTTGGGTGCATGCATGCTTCCAACCTGGAGCTGCCACTGATACACATTATGCCTTGTGCAGGCTGTAAAAGAGCACCTCATCTGAATGGACAAATTACCCTTTTCCCTCAGCCCCTATTCTTGCCCTCAGCCAGCCTTCTTAATGAATGATAAAAATGCACAATCCTATGTTGTGGTCCCCTCCAGATTCCAGGATAGGCATGCCAAGTTCTCCCAAGAATCCCTTCACCTGTGACGGCAGCCCAGGATTTGCCTACTGACTCGGAAGTTCCACAAGCATCCAGGGAGGGTGCCAATCTCCACTTCTTGCAAGCAACCCCCTCAGTGATTTTCTTGAAGCTTCATCTTCCTTCAATTTGGTGGGACAGCTGTTCTTATAGTGTGGTCATGGACTCCTGGGGGTCTTCAAGACACTTTCAGGGGATTCACAAGGTTAAAATCATTTTCATAGTAAGACATTTGCCTTTCTGACTGTGTTGACTTTTGCGCTAATGGTACAATAATGGTAGATGAAACTGCTAGCAGCTCAGCATGAATGAAGGCAGTGGTACCCAAATATACTAGCAGCCATTAGGTTCTTCACCACCACACACTCACCAGTAGGAAAAAAGAATTCCAGTTTCCATTAAGAATGCTCATGGCTGTAATCCCAGAACTTTGGGAGGCTGAGGTGGGCAGATCACCTGAGGTCAGGAGTTCGAGACCAGCCTGGTCAACATGGCAGAAACCCCACCCACCTCTATTAAAAAACAAAAATTAGCTGGGTGTGGTGGCAGGTGTCTATAATCCCAGCTACTAGAAAGGCTGAGGCAGGAGAATCACTTGAACCCAGGAGGTGGAGGTTGCAATGAGCCAAGATTGTGCCACCGCACTCCAGCCTGGGTGACAAAGAGTCCGTCTCAAAAAAAAAAGAATGCTTTGATGAAGTAGTAAAAATTATTAAATTTTGTAAATCTCAACCCTTCGAGAGATATATATCTGTATACACACATACATATATTTTGACGGAGTATCACTCTGTCGCCAGGCTGGAGTGCAGTGGCGTGATCCCAGCTCACTACAACCTCCACCTCCCGGGTTCAAGCAATTCTCCTGCCTCAGCCTCCTGAGTAGCTGGGACTACAGTGTGCATCACCATGCCCAGCTAATTTTTAAATTTTTAATAGAGATGGGTTTCACCATGTTGGCCAGGATGGTCTCGATCTCTTGACCTCATGATCTGTCCACCTTGGCCTCCTAAAGTGCTGGGGTTACAGGTGTGAGTCACTGTGCCTGGATGTATACATCTTAATAACAATATTCCTTGTGATGGAATGGGAAATATACATAAGGTACTTCTACTGCATGCAAAAGTATGATGGCTGTCCTAAGAAAAAAACACTTTGCAACTGAGTTGTAAGCTGAACTGGCCCCTTCTTTCATGGAACACCATTTTTACTTGAAACAATATCAAAAAAACAAATTATTGCTCTATCAACTTGAGAGTTTGGCAGCTATTTCCTTGAAAGTGTACAAAGAGAGCCTGTCACTTCCAAAAAAATAACTGACAGTATTGTTGTCACTTGAAAAAACAATGGGTTTTCAAGCAGAAGTTAGAATTTTTCAAAATTTGCATCTGCAACCATAAGCTTGATAGTTTCCCATACTTAACACTTTTCTAATGACATCACAGGTGACAAAGAGTATGGTTTCTGACTAGTGTAATGAAATGTATCAATTTAGAAAATCTGCATAACTCAAATAACTAATATTTCCAATTACCAATGGATGATGTTAAAAAAATGGATAAAAAGATCCATTCTGAGTACAAGAAAGACCAATGGATTTCAATATATGAATAGCAAAGACCAGAAATGATTAACATGGTTTCAGATTCTACATTGTAATGCTTAAGAAATAACTATTTGTTAAGTTTTTGTGTAATATCAAGGAAGAATATCCACAGCTACATTAACAGCTATTAAAATATTCATTTTTTTCCAATTGCACATTTGTGCAAGGTCAGTGTTTTTCATATTCTTCAATCAAAGTAAATACAACAGATAAAATGAAGAAGCAGATATAAGAATCTAGCAATTTTGGATGAAAGTGGACAGTAGGGTTTTTTTATTTTTGTTTTTTTGTTTTGTTTTTGTTTTGTTTTGTTTTTTTGAGATGGAGTTTAACTCTTGCTGCCCAGGCTGGAGTGCAATGGTGCCATCTTGGCTCACTGCAACCTCTGCTTCCTGAGTTCAAGTGATTCTCCTGCCTCAGCCTCCCAACTAGCTGGGATTACAGGTGCACGCCACTATGTCCGGCTAAGTTTTGTATTTTAAGTAGAGACGGGGTTTCACCAGTAAAGAGGTTTTTAACACTGTAAAACAATGCTGCTATTCTCATTAATTTTTTGTTTGGAAAATAGTTATTTACATTAAAATCTTATTTATGTTAACATGCAATGAGTTTATTTTTATTATTTTTAAATAAGTTAGTAAGTAAATATTTTTAAAGTTCTAGTTTTAATTTCTAATATTGTGAATGTTCACAGGTGCTGTAAACAAAACTCCCTAGAGCTGTCAGTAATTTTTAAACATGTAAAAGGGTCTTGTGACTAAAATATTTGAGAACTGTTGTGCTAGGAGGTGGAGAAGCACCCCTCCCATCCACTGTAGAAGGAAAAGGGTCAGACCCCAAATACGGCAGGACCCACTAGGCCTGTGACTAATTACCCAGACTTCCCACAACCTCTTTCCTCTTGATAAAGAACCAGTTCTGCAGCTTTTAAGAAGTCCTGGGTGATGTCTGACTCAGTTGTTTGTGGGTCTATTTAGAAGGTTGGATATTTGGAACCTTTGTTCAGTGTTAGTTGTCTTTTCCTGGAGCTAGGAACTTTCCCACTCATTACTGTAAAATAATCTTTAATGGTTTTGCAGTATTTTTTATTTCTTTGTGGGAGAGTAGTTATTCTGTCACAATATTGATTTGACCTTATTTTAAAATATTCATTACTGACCAGGCGTGGTGGCTCACACCTGTAATCCCAGCACTTTGGGAGGCTGAGGCAGGCAGATCGCAAGGTCAGGAGATGGAGACCATCTTGGCTAACATGGTGAAACCCCGTCTGTATTAAAAAATACAAAAAGTTAGCCAGGCATGGTGGCACTGTAGTTCTAGCTACTTGGGAGGCTGAGGCACGAGAATCGCTTGAACCTGGGAGGCAGAGGTTGCAGTGAGCCGAGATCATGCCACTGCACTCCAGCCTGGGTGACAGAGCAAGACTCTATCTCAAAAAAAAAATTCATTTTCATTTTGGTGTGACAATACAGAGAAGTCAAAAGATAAGGTGGTGTTTTGAGGAGAGCATGGGCTTTAGGATAGAATCCCAATTTCACCATTTGCGGAGAAACTGTGGGCAAATTATACAACTTTTCTAACCTCATTTTCCTATCTGTAAAATAGGATGCAAATAACTGCCTTTCATGTTGCTCAGAGATAAGGTATATAATTCATCTCACACATGATAGCCAATAAAATGAACCATCATCATGATCATGATTATGACCATGATCATGATCATCATCATTATCTTAACGTAGGAGGTGGGAGTTCCTGTTGGAATCCTCTGAGATGAGCAACCTAACCCCTTTTCGGTGCTCTTACTAAGTTTTTAGATTTCTCTCTGAATGCCAGGTAACAGCATATCCACTAGATAAGATGAATTTCTATTATCCTTTCCCCCATTCTGTCATGATAAAGAGGAAATATTTCCATCATGATTGAAGGGCCAGTTTCCCTGAAAAGACTGTTTTTTCTTACCTCCAATTCCTCCAAGACAAACACCCTCCTTTGAACTTTCCCCAACTCTAGACCGTGGTGTGGGCCAAAATGGACCCCAAATAAACCACCACTGGGTACTATGTTTGGCCAGTAGTGGAAAAAATAAACAGCTGGTTGAATTTTATAAAGTAAGATTGCTAAATAAAAAACGATGTGAAGCTGCAAAGACTGTTCTCGTGAGTATTTTTCTTTATTTTTTTAGATAAGAGCTCCAGGAGGCGATTTTTATGGAACCATGCATGAAAATGGTGTGTTTCCTCACGCTGCTAAAATCGAAGCCCTGGGTCCCTTTCATAGCAGAGGGAGGCAGATTAATGAGTTGGGGGGATGTGGCTGCTGCCTCTCAGCAGCTGGCTCAATTACCTCTCCTGTTCAAGCTGTGCTTTGGGTCTTGAAACACAAGCCTGGTGGAATTTTAACCTTGCTGGAGGACTTTGTTCCTTCACTGAGGCTGCCTACTTTTAGCTTGAATATATCCTTCACTTCTCATAGACGGGTTTGCTGGAATCATGGGTGTGAGGGAATTACCCAGTGAGTGCCCTTTTAAAAACAAGGAAAGTAAATGAGATCATGAGGATAATAACAAATGAGAAGCTCTGGGAAGATAAATAAGACCCATTTGGGGAAAGGATATTAGTAATATGTACTTTTGTTCTAAAGAAACATTTTGGTGCGAGAGGCAGTTTGTCCAAAGAGCTTGGTCAGAAATCATCTGAGAGCAGGTAACAGAAACCCACTCAGATTCATTCAAGCAAAATGCGTATTTAATATGAGGCATTAGGTATACCTTATGATCCCAAATGCATACAGGACAGCTGAGAATTAAGAGGTTTCGATCTCTATGGCTAAGTGTAGGGTCCTAAACCCTGGTTGCCTGGCTTCAAATTCTGGATGTATCACTTATACTATATGATCTTGGACAAACTACTCATCACTCTGTGATCCATTTCTTCTCTCTGTAAAGCAGGGAAAATAAGAGAACTCACATCTTAGAATTGTTGTAAAGTGAGTATATATACGTAAAGTGTGCAAAATGTGCCTGAAACATATTAATCTCTTCATAAATGTCAGCTATCAAAACTTTCATAACAGCTATCTTACTTCAGACCAACTTTCCCACAAAGGACAAATAGAAAAGCTGTATGAAATTTTAAAAATTAATTTTAGGCCAGGCTCAGTGGCTCAAGCCTGTAATCCCAGCACTTTGGGAGGCCGAGGCAGATGGATCACTTGAGGTCAGTAGTTCGAGACGAGTCTGACCAAAATGGTGAAACCCCGTATCTACTATAAATATAAAAATTAGCTGGGTGTGGTGGCGCACACCTGTAATCCTGGCTACTAGGGAGGCTGAGGCAGGAGAATCACTTGAACTCGGGAGATGGAGTATGTAGTGAGCCAAGATCATGCCACTGCACTCCAACCTGGGTGACAGAGCAAGACTCCATCCCAAAACCAAAAAATAAAAAATAAAAATAATTTTAAAGACATTGGAGAACTGCCAAGGCTGGGAGGACTTAAGAGCCTAAGATCACAGAGAGAAGGGAAGAAAAGAGCTGTGAACCTGACGTTCTGTGTTGCCTTTCCCCACAAGGCATCTGCTAACTGACAAGGATTACCTTAGATACCCAGAATCTGGACAGAAAAGATTGAAAGGTGAAGAGTTGAGCATCTCTATTGGCACACTTATGGAGCTAAAGGAGACAAAAATTGGAGTTTAGGGTCAAGAAAAAGGAACCATGACATTTACTCAGTGTTTTCAGGTGGAACTTTCAAGGGTTATAATCTAGAAATATGGATTAACTAGAAATGCAACAACCCTCATAAAGACTAATGCCCAGTTTTGAATCTGTTCATTCATTGACTTAATTAAGGTGAGTCAATCTGCCTTTACCTAGTTACTTGCCAGAAGCAACAGTTAATAATCTTTGGAGGAAGATAACATAATCAACAGCCTGATGTATATCTCATATTAAATCTAAAATTACCAGATTCACCTGCAGATAAGACAAAATGTCCAACAACCATGAGGAAGAGAAAGCCAGACAGTATAAAGAAACCAATAGAAAATAAAGATACTGGAGTTAAAATAGACTTTAAAATAACTGTCATAAGTGTATTAAAGAAATTAGATGGTGGTATGGTAATTTTCAGCATGGAATATAGAACTATTGAAAATGATCATATGAAAATTCCAGAACTGAAAAATACAATATCCAAAATAAAAAACTTGACATACGAAGTTATCATTAGATTAGAAAAAGCTGAGATAGGATTAGTGAACTGAATAATTTGTCAGAAGAAAACATCTGGACTAAAGCATGGAGTGACAAAAGAATGGAAAATATGGACAAGAACCTAAGAAACATGTGGGACAGAGTGAAAGTTTGAACAAATAAGTAGTTGGAGCCCCAGAAGAACAAGAGGAATAGAATGGGGGAGAAACAATGTATGAAGAGATAGAGGCTGAAAATTTTCCCAAACTGATCTGTTTTTCCAAAACAGATCAATAGAATGGGGGAGAAATGATGTATGAAGAGATAGAGGCGGAAAAATTTCCAAAACTGATCTGCATTATAGATTCAAGAAGTTTTATGAACTCCAAAGAGAATTAGTAGAACAGAAATCACACATAGGTACATGGTAGTGAAACTACTCAAAAATCAAAGAAGAACATATCATCTTAAAGTCAACTGAAAACAATACATATTACCTTTAAAGAAGAAATACTAATTTGATATGATTCAAAAAAAATGGGGGTTTAACTATAGCTAGGCGGCCGTGTGGGGTTGCTTATGGCTGTAATCCCATCACTTTGGGAGGGCGAGGTGAGTGGATCATCTGATGCCAGGAGTTTGAGACCAGCCTGGTGAACATGGTGAAATCCTGTCTCTACTGAAAATACAAAGATTAGCCAGGTGTGGTAGCGGGTGCCTGTAATCCCAGCTACTCGGGAGGGTGAGGCAGGATAATCTCTTGAACCTGGGAGGCAGAGGTTGCAGCGAGCTAAGAGCGTGCCACTGCACTCCAGCCTGGATGATGGAACGGGACTCTGTCACACACGCACACAAAGAAAGGAAGAAGATAAGTGAGTGATATCTTTAAAGTGATGAAAGGTAGTAGTTATGACTCACACTTCTGTACCCACTGACAATAACCTTTAAAATAAAAGTAAAATGAAGACATTTACAGACAAGTAAAATATGAGAGAATTCATAATCAGCAGATGCTTCCTAAAAAAATACTAAAGGGAGTTCTTGAGGCTGAAAGTAAATGATACACTGTGAAAGCATGGAAATACAGGAAAGAACAAAGATTAATGGAAAGCATAAATATGTGGGTATATCCACATTAATATTGAATGTTTATAAAACAGCTATATTAATATATATGTGGTTTAAAATATTTTTAGAATTAAAACATATGAGGGTATGAAGTATTCATGTTCCTTGAATTGTCCAGGAATTGGCAAATTTTATTCACTGATATTAGGCTTGGCTGAGTCTATCTGTGCAGTTGTCTTCAGGGCAATCACTGAAAAGAATAGTAACAATAGGTAAAACCTTGTTCATGGTAGATGGAATTATTAAAATACATAATTAATCCAAAATAAGGCAAAAAATGTACAAAAGGGAACATAGAACAGATGAAATAAAGAAAAAACAATTAGCAAAATAACAAAATTAACCCAAATATGCAGATAATTCCATGATTTGCAAGAAGACTTAATACTCCAATTTAAAGTCAAAGATTGTCAAACTGGATAAAAAATGAAATAAAACCATATTCTTTTTACAACATACACTTTAAATACTAAGATACAGAAAATTGAAAGTAATAGGATAAAAGACAGTATATCATGTAATGCCAACCAAAAGAAAGCTGTATAGTTATATTAACATCAGATAAAGCAGACTTTAAGGCAAGAAGAATTGTAAGAGATAAAGAGAAGTGTTTTAAGATGATTAAAAGGTCAATTCACAGGAAAGTGGAAATATTCTAATTTTATATGAACCTATTAACAACACCTCAAAATATATGAAGCAATAAATACAGAGTTAAAAAGAGAAACAGACAAATCCAGAAGCATAGTTGGAGATTTTAACATATCTTTCTCAGCAACTGATAGAACAAGCAGGCAAAAAAGTCAGCATGATTATAAAACATGGCCTAGTTGATATATATAGAGCACTACACCTGACAACTGCAGAATACAGACTGTTTCCAAGTGCACATGGACATTTACCAAAATTGACCATGTACTGGGCCTTAAAGCAAATCTCAACACGTTTTAAGGGATTGCAATAAACATGTTTTCTGACCACAGCGGAATCGAGCTTGAAATAAATAACGATGGGCCACTACAATGTCTCTAAATATTTGGAAATTAAGCAATATACTTCCAAATAATCAACAATAAAATCACATTGGAAATCAAAAAGTTTTTAGAATGGAATGGTTATGAAAATATGACATATCAAAACCTGTGGTCACAGCTAAAGCAGTGCTTAAAGAATATGTATAGCTTAAAATGCATATGTTGGAAAAGAAGAAAGGCTGCAACTCAATTATTTAAGTATCTCTTAGGAAGTTAGAAAAATATCCAGCAAGTAAAACCTATAGAAGGTAGAAGGAAAAAGGTAATATATATAAAAGTAGAAATTAATAACATTGAAAACAAATGTACATTAAAGAAAATCAACAAAACCAAAAGTTATTTTTTGAAATGACTCATAACATCAATAAATCACTTGCAAAAGAAGAATAAAAACAGGAAAATAAAAAAAGACACAGATTTTAGAAATAAAAAGGAAATATTATTATAGGTCCTATGGGTATTAAGAATAAATTAGAGACTGTTAGAAACAACATAAGTCTATTTTTAAATTTGGAAATTTAAAGAAAATGAATAAATCCCTAGGAAATCAAATCTTAACAAAACTGACACATGAGAGAATGAGAAATCAGAAAAGCATTCTATCTATAAAAGAAAATTTAAAAGTCTTTCTATACAACCTCTTGGGAAAACTTTTTGCAGTACTATAAAGCTGAATGTATTCACACACCCTAAAATCCTGCAGTCTCACTTCTAGGAATGTATACTCAGCATAAAGGAAAGTATATGGACACCAAAAGACAGGTACAAGAATAAACATAGCAGCATCATTCTTAGTAGCAAATGCGAACAATCCAAACATATATCAGCAACCGAATAAGTAAATGAAAAATGGTAAATTGATTCAATAGAACACTATATAGCAATGAAAGTGAATGAACTATTTCTACATGCAATAAAATGGATAATCATAAACATAATATTGAGGGAAAGAAGCCAGATGCAAAAGAACATGTATGATGTGACTACATTTATGTAAAGTTCAAAAATAGGCAAAGTAATATGGGATACTGGTCACCTTTGAGAAGGATGGAGGGAGTGGTTATTGTAAGGGTGTGTAAGAGATGCTGGCAATGTTCTGTTTTGATCCAGTTGGCTGTTACAATGGATGTATTTATTCTATGATTATGCATTTTAATATATGTATATTATACTTCAATAAGAGTTTTATTTTTAAAAAATTAGCTATTATTACTTTGGTTGTTATAAGAAACTATGAAGGAAAGCTGTCAGGAGCCAAAGCAACTTGGGTGGGTCCATACCATAATCCTACTTCCTTAGACTCTCTCGCAATTATTTGTGGAGCCTGGAACAAGTGTACAAACGGAGGCCCAAATACCATCTATAAAAATACTTTAAAGTTATCATTCAGGCTAAGAGACTGTTCAATAAAATATGTCTTTATCTACCTACTTAGACAAATATACTTTTATAATACCCTGGAAGGCCAGGTTTGAATTTAGAATTCTCAGTTTCAGAGCTGTAAAATGATGGCCTGGACAGAGGCAGTTCCCCAGCCCCAGCCCATGGCCCTCTCTTCCCAGTTCTGGCTCTCTGCAATGGGCCTCACTTGCATTTCTGTGGATATGCCATCCTGCACGTGCAAGCTCCTTCACATCCCCAGCAAACTGCTGCCCTGTGGCCACCCCTTGGGTCCAGGGACACATAAACCAGCAGTGTGACCCAGCCTGGGGAAGAGACATCTGAAGCAGCAGCCTGCACAAGCTCTAGGAACAGATTCAGGGACATTTGGGCAGGGAGTACAGGGTCACGGATGACAAGAGCATGGTGTGAAAGGGTGGAGTGCAGGCCCCAAGTGGACATGTCCTTAGCCTCAAGGAGTCCTTGCTCTGGGTGGAAGGACACAGGAAACGGAGGGTCAGAACAGACCAAGAGGCAGGGTCTTTTGCCCAATTTCAAAGGAAATTCTGTATTGTCTTTTAAAAAATCAATGATGCCCTTTCGGCCATTAGAAAAAGAGACAGAGGGAGACAAAGAGAGATTTTTAAGTAGAATGGGTGAATTCTACTCAGTGAACATATGTCCTGTACTAAGTGTGATATGAAAGCTAAAAACCTCCATCAGAATATATCCTTATCATGAATGTGGGGTTTGTGTGTGTGTGTTTTTTCTCACGATGGTATCCCTAGAGCCTGGTGCCTTAAAAATCTCAATAAATATTTTACTAATAAATCACTCCCTGATAACTGTTCCCTCAGTTATCAGATGCCCCCTGCTTCTCACAGCATGTGCATCTTGCTGGTGCTGGTGTTCAAAGCACATGTATTTTGAACAATATTGAAAAAGGAATGAAGCCTGGCCCGCCCAATGGTCCTCTCTAGCACATTACAGAGATTGGCCTTTGGAGCTGAAAGCTGGACAGAATCTCAGTGATCCTGTAGGCCAGGGTGTCAGAGCATCCAAGCACCCCAGAAGCTGAATGCAAATGTCTGAATAAGGGCAAATGTTCATTTTTTTGAGGAGATGCACATAGCTTTCATGAAAATTTCAAAGGTGTCTATGACTCCCAAAATGTCAAGAGTTCTCAGTGAATCCTCTTATTTTATAGATGATGGGTCTATGGCACAGAGAGGTGAACTCAATTCACTCTGAGCTCTATTCAAATCTACTGTTGCCTGAAGCTTCCTTCCACCACCTTATAGCAGAACTCATGCCCTCGGTTAGGGCGGGATGGGGGAGACTGTGAAGCTCTCCTTTGCAAGGGCTCTCAAATTTAGCCACGTGCTAGAGTCATCTGGATTTCTGGTATAGAAGGTGATTTTAATGTGTAGCCAGGGTCAAAACCCACTGGGTTAGAATATTTCACTAAAAAGTGTGTAATGGGGGTTGTGGGATGGAGTTTGAGTGCCAAACTCTGCTCCGAGTCTCCTAGCCCAGAATGCTGACTACAACAGTCTAGAGTTTACAAGGAAACAGATCTAAATGAAAAGCAAGTTCCACTTTGTTAGTGTATGGGCAGGTACTCAATGACCTCACCACCACTCATGACCTCATTCCTGGTACCCAGAGCTGGACCACTTGACTTCAGCTGGGAAACTGAAGTAGGGTTTCCTATTTCTTTCCCTCCAAAAAGATAGCATAGCTGGTAGTATGTAACCCACCTGGCTTACCTAGGCATGCACAGGTGAAGATGCTGGCACAAAGATGTGGGGAGAATGGCTGGGCCTGTGGGGTAGAGCTGCCTCACCTCCATCACACACATGGCTACATGATCTCTTACTTTACCAACTGTACAGGAGAGAAATAGAAGGAAAAGGAGGTTGCCTGAGTCACATCCCAGACCTTCTTTGATGGTAGGGGAAGGGTAGGAAAGTCCTGAGTTTCTACAGGAAGGATAGAGTGGTCTTGACCATGGCAACCTTACTCACTAATGAAATGTAGTCCAATCAATATCTCAAGTTCATTAGATTAGCAATTCATCTCCTATTAGATAAGAGATGAGGAGGAAGTAGAAATTAGAAAGGAAAGAGAGTGGCCTGGCATGAGAGTGAGAAGAACATGTCACTTCAACTGCAAAGAGACAATTACAATGCAGTGATGAGAGTTAAGGTCGGGGTTTCCTGGGGCCATAGTGGAAAGATCTACTAACCTCATGAGGCTAAGAGTTAGTGGACGGTTTTGTGGAGGATGCGACATCTTCAGCTGAATCCTAAAGAGTGGAAGTTTTCCAGACGGATAGGGGAAGGAAAATTAATTTTCACACATATTATGGCATAGAGTTTCTAGTAGCATGGTATTTGAAAGAACTGTAAGAGTTGACTATGACTAGAATATAGATTGTGCAAAGAAGGTATATTTGTAATGGGTTATTAAAATATAAGAGGCATATCAACCATTCAGTGAGTATTGTTTAGGATGAATAAATTACTTAGCTGGCCCCCAAATTAAAGACATTCTTAATTTTCTTGATTTGGAAAAATTCTACTAATCTTGACCAGTTTCTCTTTATTCACTAGAATCTGGATATTTTTTAAGGATAGGATTGCATTGAATTTGACTCAGTAAGAGCCATAAATACAGCATCTGACTTCTTACAAATTCTGAATTCATGTATTAAATAAGCTTTCTGGGCTTGAACCTCCACAGGAGAATCTCAGAATGACTAAAAGTTAACAAATTGGCCCTGAATAGACACAGCATCAGAAGTGAAGGTGTCTTGTGCAGTTACAGACAAAGTGTTTTGGGATCAACTGTTGATTCAAACACTGGCCAAGGTCCCTTAGGGAGAAGTGTAAGGTGTTTAGAGCCAGGCAGGCCTGGGTTTCACTCTTAGCTCAACCATTATCAACCAAATGCATATAGGCAGGTCACATTGCCGCTCTAAGCCTTGATATCCATATTAATAATGTGGAAGTGATATCTATTTCAATGAATTGTTAAGAGGATAATCTGAAAAAATGTGAACAAACTGTCTTGGCCAAGGCTATTTTTATCATAAGGAACAGGAAAGCACTTAAACTAATTCAACTGAAATCAAGGAATAAGAAATGAAATATAGCATCCTCAGGAGAGAAACCAGGAACCAAATTGTTGGAATCTAGGCACATGTGCCGTCTCCCAGGAGCTACTGAATCTTTCTTACAACATCCTGTGTATTTCTCTGTGTACATTTTCCCTTCTCTGCGCTGTGCGGACTGATCTCAGCTTTCTTCAGTTCCCTTCTACCTCTCACTATTTCCCACTCTAGACTTTTCTACACTCCAGCTTTCCATAGGAAGTCCACTGGGTTAGTTTTTCTGTGTCCTAGTGCCATGTTTCTGGGAGAAGAACTGGATCAACTGATCAACTGGATCAATGTATAAAACTTGATAAACAGTGTTCACCTATGGTCCAGTGATTCGTGATCAGGATGTGAGACTGGACAAATGGCACAAACATGGCTCCAGGCCTACCCTTTCAGCCCTGTATGGGGATGATTCCTAGAGAGAGGGCCTGCAGGAGAGCAAACACCCCAAAACATATGAGCTACAAGCACCTAGCACAAGTAGGAGCACAAAAAATATTAGCTTCCATCCCTCCCCACTCTCCTAATTCTAGCAGAGCAAGTTTCCATGAGGAGCCCATACACAAGCATGATTGTTCTATATTTTTACCTTTGCTTGGGCTATACCTCTTATTAAGAATATCCTAATTCCACCCAAGTACTAACCAGGCCTGACCCTGCTTAGCTTCTGAGATCAAACTTGATCGGGCACATTCAGGGTGGATGAAAATCCTTACTTTGAAAATAAAGTTCTCTCCAAAGAATTTCATCTGAATGAGAATGGTGATCTATCTTCAAATTCCACTGAAATCAAATGGAAATCTGGAAAGGATTTGACGAAATGTTCAAGTCAAATGCAGAAGAAAGACAGCAGAAAGAGGCAGCATGAAGAACCAGAGAGCTTCTTTACCTGGTTTATTGACCATTCTGATGCAGGTGCTGATGAGTTAGGAGAGGTCATTGAAGATGACATTTGGCCAAAACCATTACTGTACTACTTGGTTCCTGATATGGACGACGAAGAAGAAGGAGCAGAAGATGGTGATGATGAAGAAGACGAGGAAGGATTAGAAGATATTGATGAAGAAGGGAGTGAGGATGAAGGTGAAGAAGATGATGATGAAGGAAAGGAAGGAGAGGGGGATGAAGGAGAAGATGACTAATAGAACACTGAGAGATTCTAACTTTCCTTTTTTAAAAATTTTCTCCAGTCCCTGGGAGCAAGTTGCAGTTTTGTTGTTGTTGTTGTTGTTTTCTCTCTCAGTCACCCTGTTCTTGAGGTCTCTTTCCTCAACTTATTTTGGGGGAAATACCTTGAGCGGAATACAATGGGAAGTCTCTACCCCTTTCTGCTCGAAATTCATTTTTATTGCTTACTATCTGAATAAAAACTGTATGGAATCAACACCACCGAGCTCTGCGGGAAAAAAGAAAACCCCGCTCCCTTCACTCTGCTGGAAGCTGGAGGGTGCTAGGCCCCTGTGTCGTGGTGCGTATAATTCTAGCTTTTTTCCTCCGTTCTGTTTGTTGGGCTCAGAGAATACACTGTGTCTCTATGTGAATATGGACAGTTAGCATTTACCAACATATATCTGTCTACTTTCTCTTGTTTAAAAAAAGAAAAAAAAACTTAAAAAAAAGTGGTTATGGAAAATCAGAATGGTGGGTTTGAGATGTTTGGGTGAGTTAAGTGGGCATTTTGACAACATGGCTTCTCCTTTGGCATGTTTAATTGTGATATTTGACAGACATCCTTGCAGTTTAAGATGACACTTTTAAAATAAATTATCTCCTGATGATGACTTGAGCCCTGCCACTCAGTAGGAGAATCAGCAGAACCTGTGGAATCTTATTTGGAATTGACATTCTCTATTGAAATGTTGTTCCTGTTTATTTTTAAATTTTCTTTTTGTTTCACTGGAAAGGAAGGATGATGCTCAGTTTTAAACGTTAAAAGTGTACAAGTTGCTTTGTTACAATAAAACTAAATGTGTACACAAAGGATTTGATGCTTTTCTCTCAGCATAGGTATGCTTACTATGACCTTCCAAGTTTGACTTGTATAACATCACTTTCAAACTCTGTCACTCTAACTTCCTATTTTTTGATACGCACTTTGGAGGATGGCCTCAGGGTTATGTGAATTGAGTAACAGGATTTGAATCAATGTATTAATATCTCCATAGCTGGGAAACGTGGGTAAAATTTGCCATTGGTTTCTGAAAGTATTCACATCATTTGAGATACCAGATTGCTGAATACTTTCTGAGTATATTCTGCCCTTGATTTTTATTTCCAAGTGTAAGTTTTTAAAATTGACCTTTTACCTGGATATAAAGTAATAGTGCCTGCCACCACCATCCAACAGACCTGGTGCTCTAATGCCAAGTTATACATGCGACGGTTGCTGGCATATCTTCATTGGCTATATAAAATGTGGCCAAGAATATAGGCTTTCAGAGTAAGAAGTCTGTGATGGTTAGCAGTAACTGTCCCTGCTCTCTGGTATAAAGCTCTCAAATGTGACTATATGAATCTGGGTGGGATAATGGACTCAGCTCTGTCTGCTCAATGCCATTGTGCAGAGAAGCACCTTAATGGATAAGCTTTTCAATGCTGTAAATATAGTAGCTGAAATTAAATGCCACTTTTTCAGAGGTGAATTAATGGACAGTCTGGTGAAATTCAAAAGTTTTTTGATGTATAAAACTTGATAAACGGAACTATTCCATCAATAGGCAAAAAAGTAACAACCTATCTAGATAGATAGTATGTAATTTCTGCACAGGTCTCCGTTTAGTAAACATATCACTGTATACTGATCAGGAATCTTGCTCTAGTAAAGAAACATAAAGATTTTGTTTTTTTTGGAAAAAAAAAAAAGAATATCCTGTTATGGCCAGGTGCGGCGGCTCACACTTATAATCCCAGTACTTTGGGAGGCCAGGGCAGGCAGATCACTTGAGCGCAGGAGTCCAAGCACCAGCATGGACAACATGGAGAAACTCCATCTCTACTAAACATACAAAAATTAGCCAACATGGTGGCTACTCAGGAGGCTGAGATGGGAGAATTGCCTGAGCCCAGGAAACAGAGGGTGCAGTGAGCTGAGATGGTGCCACTGCACTCCAGACTGTGTGTCAGAGCATGACCCTGTCTCAAAAAATATATATAAAATAAAATTAAAAAAGAACAAAAGAAAGAAAATAATATCCTATTTCCTATTCCATCCCTCCATCCATCCATCCATCCATCCATCCATCCATCCATCCTTTCATCTCTATCTTTTTTTCTACCCTGGCAGGCCCTCTTCCTCCAGGAAATCTTCCTTATATCCTTAATATCTTCAGCTACCCTTCATCTTCCTTATTTCTGTCAATTTGTTAGAGTCTATAACACACAATTTAGCACTAAGTTATCTAACTTTCTCTCAATCACTTTGAAGATGTTGTTGTTTCAACTGGATTATAGATTTATTCAGAACAGAGAGTGCCACAGTGCCACACACAAAGAGGAACAAAGAGTAAGTGTTCAACGAACAAAGAAAATTACAGAACAATAAGCATTTTATATCTAGAAAGGATCTCAAAAAATAATGAAGTTTCATCTCCTTGATTTCAGAAGAAGAACTGAGGTCAATATAGAAGAAACACCCTTGGTTGATGAAATAGAAAGAATAAAATGGAGATTCAATATCATAATATATTTACATGTAAAATATATGTTTATATATTTATAAAAATTATATATTATTTGTGTAACAGAAGAATTCTCCCCCATCATACTGTGGAATGGTTGTTGGAGGATCATGATACGTTCAAGCTGGAAGGGAACTTAGAAGTGACATAAGACACGCATTTTAAGTTTGCAGATGAGAAAACTTTCTCCCAGGAAAAAGAAAAGATTTATCCAAGATCACCCAAGTTTTTAGTGCTAAAGCTGGGACTAGGATCCACACCTCCTTCTTCTCACTCCTGTGATTATTTTCTGCACTCCACTGTCACCAAATTCTTGCTTTAAGCTTCCATTCCTCCCTAGACCATGTACCTGACATTAGGGTTCATTTGTCCCTCACAGTTTTAGCTCTATATCATTTGTCCTTAATCATTCTGTGCACCATTTTCCTTTTCAGCTTCTTCTTTCTCCTGTCTATTTGTATTTACTTCTGCTCACTTTGTCCTTGCTCTGTGGACTATACAGTTGGCCCTATTTCCTTGGCTATCACCTTGATTCTACTCCTCATCTCTTGGTGTAAATGCCTTTCCCAGTTCAGCCTGGTCTCAGCACCGGGTATCGCCTACTCTTGACTAATTCATGCGTTGATTTAACACACATTTACTGTGCATGTCTTCTGTGAAAGTTTCTGAATGAAGTACACTTAGTCTCTATTCAATATGCTCACAATCTAGTGGTGAGAGAGAGATTTTAAAACAATATGGTAAGCGTGTTCATCTCAGAGCTTTATTCCATGGGAGACCAAAACTGAGTAAGGAATGGTGGGAGGGTGACAATCAGGGAAGACTTCCTGGATGTGTTCCCTGAAATGAGGCATTAGGACAGATCAGTGGATATGCATTAGCAGATGGGGCAGTGGAGTGGAGGTCAATGAGGATGCAGACAGAAAGAAAAATAACATAAAGGCATAAAAACATAAAATAGCAAGGGGTACAAAAGAATGACCCTGATGTTTTTCAAGGATAAAAAGGCAGGTGGTAGTATGGGCTAAGCCTGGAGAAATGGGTGAACCACATTGGGAAGGCCTGTCTTCGAGTTGGGAACTTGAACTGTTGGGATTTAGGGAGCTAATAAATGACACTGCATTCCCTGCCTGAGTTCTTAATTGAGAGGAACCCCAAGGAGTCAGGCAGATGGAGGTTAAAATGTCAGCTTTACTACTGATAAAACAATAAGCATGGCTTAGATTTAGCCAAATTGCTTGCTAACACTTCCCAATACTGAACTTAATTCCCAAAATGCAGGCCTCTCCTACAAGGGCTGATAGGTTTAGAGCTGATGATAATGCTTTACAAGCATCTGGCCCTGAGAGGGGGGAGCGGGGTAGGGTGGGAGAGAGAGAGAGCTGAGCCAGCTCACCTCCTTATCTTAAATTTACCAAGCAGATAAATCACTCCTCCTCTGGGGAGAGAGGGCAGAAGTGTTACTCTAATGGCGGTCCCTCCACTTGGAACATGAAGCAAGAGGGGAAGGAAGTTCCTACCTAATACAAATCCACCACTTACTGAGCACCTACTGCACACTGCCATGCAGAAGGCCCTGGTTCCACAAACTGGAACCAGACAGAATCAGAAGTAGGCTGGGAAGATTCTCTAACAGAGTAGGTAAAAAGACCTGGGAGCCCTTTGTACCCAGTGCTTGCTGTTCACGAGAAAACAACAGAGCTCTTAACATGAAGAATTTTTAGAAACAGCATTGTGTATACCCAGAACTCCTCAGAGATAGTCTCACTTCTAATATCACCCAGACACTGTTCTTTCATCAGAAAGGCCTCTTTGGCATAATGTTTATTCTGACTAAAACAATGTGACCATCTGCCCCTCCTCACAATGGTTGTTATTGAGGTGAGAACACAAATACAATCCTGTCACAGCCCATAATGGCAGGGAACATACCTGCTGCTGGGGGAAGTTCTCTTAGGGAAAGAGGATGGGCAAGGTGGCACTATTAAGCAGGTGTTGACATTAAGAACCTTTAAAAAGCACCTCTTTTTTCCCTACCTTCTATTTTAGCATTTCCTTGAAAATTTCTTGCCTCCTTTTGTAGAACCCTAGAATGTTAGGACTGAAAGAAACCCATTGAATCTGCTTCTCCACCTGTGCTTGAGAATAGCTTCAGCATCTTCTCCCTGCAAAATGGCCATTGTCCTCTGCTTGGATGTGTCATTGACAAGAAACTCACTAGCCCTCATAGCACAGCACAGCACAGCACAGCAAATGGCTGATGCTAATCTAGACGGGGCAGTGCTCTCTATAACCTGATGCTTATACTCTTTGTTTTTACTTTCCATTTTGCTGAAAATTTTGCAATTCGATATGACTGTGGAACAAATAGACCTCTGCTTTAATACTTTACTTTTTTGCTTTCATGTTCTTTTGTCAGGTCTATGACATTTCCAATTTTTATGATTTTTTTTCCTTCTGGGATA